ATATACATACACATATATAGTACTTGGGTTAATACAATCCATATACGATCCTAAAGTCCATTTGTAGATAATTTTTTGGTAATTGACCCACTACCGTTCCCCCGGGAGATGCAAAGTAAGGTGTCTAAAAAACGAAGGGGAATTAAAGCTAGAAGCAGCGGCGGGTATCGTTTCGGTGCACCGGGGGATCGGGCAATCCTCTCCAGAACCCAATCACTTGCATAGTCAACACTTGGGCGTGTTGGCCCCGCTGCTCACGCTGCTCGTCTCCAGGTGCTGCATCAACAGCTGCTGGAGATCGGCTCGCAGGGCGCGCTCCTCGTTGATCTGCAGCTTGATCTGGGACATGTCCTGCTGCATCTGCCGGATGGCCGTCCACAGTTGACGCAGCGTGGGGGTCATGTCCTCGTTTTCTAGGCCTGTTTTTCGGTTTTGTGTTTCGGTGGATAAAAGAAAATCGAACAGAGAACAGAATATGTTAGTGTTGTGTGTGAGAGATCGCATGAGGGGATCAGCGGGGCGGTTCAATGGCAATGTACAAAATATGACTGTGTTCGGGTATAGAAATATGTTTAGGCGTAAATCATAACTTTAAGCTATAGCTAGGAAACATAAAGTGTGTAAATCTAGAACATTTATGGCTACGGAACACTTCGTTTTAATCCAACTACAGGACATCAATCTATAGGCTACTTTAAGGTTTATAACTATATTAATTAACAACAAAACACACAACCACACAGACAAACAAAGGGAGATTCGTCTTGTAAAGGATTTTATTCATTGTTCTTCGATCAATTCGTTGAGTTATTTCTTTCTCTCTCTCGTCGACAATATCAAATATCAACTCAATTACAGTACAAACGTATAAACTGGTTAATAGTAGAGTATATAGTAGTTCATTTGGTTAGACAACGTTTCTTTCACAAAACACTTACAAAATAAGTTCGTTTAGCCTGCGGTCAATGAAGCCCAACAGTAGGTTACTTTGATTTAGTTGCTGAGTCTAGCTAGTGTATGACTAACATTTAAAGCGCACTCTTTGATTACACATTGCACACTCCTTGATTTAATTGCTTGCTAGGCAGGTAACGCACACTTAATACAAAAACTCACTAGGTCGATGTCCTCGAAAAACACAGATGCAATAAGGAGTAAGAGTATGTTTAGTAAACGGTTTCGACTATGGCAATCAAGCACATTTAGGTGTCCCATGGCAAAATTGTGTCCCACTTTCGTTTTGGCAAGTAAAAAATAGAATTTTCAAAGCCGTGGACGGAAATTTAAAGCCCTTCTGTTTTGGCTGCATTTTTGCAGCTGAACTAAAGTCTATAAACGTCCAAAATAGAACCAGGATTCAAGTGGCAAGATTCTTCCATCAAAACATCGAATAGCATCTAAACTAGTCACTTTTTCGCCAAGTCTTTTCACAGGTTACACATTAATAATAAGCTAAGTTAGATGTAAAACAATATAAGCTAAGCACAAACTCTAGTTATAGTCTAGATGCAAGGTGATTCGCTCGGCTGCCTGACTATTTATTAGTGCAGTTTAACATCCGACAGCTGGGCGAACTCCTCGGCAGAAACATCAAGGCGCAGCTTAAGGCTAAGACAATCAACACGGATACAAGTTACTTGTCCATTCGCTTACAACTTCATGTATATATAGTATTTATAGATCGCTGGTCTAGAATCTAAGGCTTGTGGCATTGAAAGCTTTGCGCAGCCAGTAAATCAACTAAAAATCAATAAACATTTGCACACAGAGCGCATTCAAAGCAAAGCATCTGCATCTGTATTTGTATCTGTATCTGTATCTGTATCTGTATCTGTATCTGAAACTGTAACTGTAACTGGAGCTGAAGCTGGAGCAGCGGGATGCGATATGCGGATGCGATGCGATGCGGATGACTGATGAAGGCATGATGATGCCCCACACCCCGACTCAAAGATGGTTGATCTTGCGCCACTGTTTCATCACAAAATTACCGCAACACCAGCTGCCCGACTGCCTCTTGCTGCCATCGGCATTGAGTTCCAGATTGCCGGAAGGACCTCCATTGCTGCGCAGCAAATCCCGCTCCACATCGCTGTCATCGGACCGTTCGCCGCCGGCCAACTGGGGAGTGCTCCTCTGGAGCGTGCTGGTCCTCAAGGCTCCGCCGCAGTTCATCAGATAGCCAGCTCCGTATCCCGCATACCGATGCGAAGTGGAGGTCTCGAAGGAGCGATTCAACCTGCGATCGTAGAGTCCCGGGTGTCCCGGAGGATTTGGTTTCACTATGGTTGTGGTGGTGGGGGATCGTTGGTAGCTCTGCTGGGCCACCAACTTGGGAGCTGGCTTGTTCTTCCGGGGCAGCAAAGGTGAAGTGCATACATTGTCGTATCCCGAACCAAAGCCACTCTTCAGGCGATTCAGGGATTTCCTGGTGGCCCTCTCCTCCGACAGAGCTCTCTGGTAATCCTTGATGAAAGGCGATCCTCCTGCTCCCGATAAGGAGTATCTCTGCGCAGGTGTGGTATTCAGCGAGGAAGACACCGAACTGGAGTACAGATTAAAGTTGTTTGGACTCGCCTCGCGCCAAATGAACGAGGAGTTCAAACTGCCGGCGGAGTGCTGGCGACCTGGTTGCTGCTGGGCAAGATGTTGCTGTTGCAGATGTTGCTGTTGCAAGTGTGGCTGCTGCAAGTGCTGCTGCTGCTGCAAGTGTTGCTGCTGCTGCTGTTGCTGGTGATTGAGGTAGGGTGAGGTGCCAACGTTGGCTATGAAAGGCAGCTGTGGATTGGAGGTCGAGAAGGTTTTGCTCGTTTTCAGCTTGCCACCGCGGATGGGCAGACACGGAGTCCAGGGTTGCAAGGCTAAAGATCGATTTGGATCAGGTCGGATTGGAATAAAGAGAGAGAGAAAAATGAAGAGATTTGAAGAAACGGAAAAACGAAATACCAACAACGACAATGGGTGGGAGAAACGTAGAACCAAAACCCACAAAGTCAAACAAAAAATGGATAGTAAAAGCGAGAAATATCACAACGTCAACGGGGAGACAACCACAACAACCATATGTAAAGGGGTGAATAAAGCAGGGATGGTGGATATATATGGATAGTATTTCCTACAAGAATGACAAAGGATAAAACAAAGGATCCCAGTAGCAGTAGTTTGGGTGAGTAAATCAGGACTGTGGGATGAGTGTGCAAAAATGGTAAACATAAACCTCGAATCCAAACAAACAATATACAGAATGTGCTGCTTAATGCTAATGATTATAAATGAATTTTTGGATCTGGGAATGGGAAGAGGAGTTGCAAGAAACGGCGCTGGGAATAAATTAAACTAAAGTTTACAAGGTAATGGGGTAACAAAAATAATATTTATTTAAGGTAAAACACGAAATAATTCCAATTCGATTGTGGTCAGTACAAATAATCGTAGAAATACAGAATAATTGACATTATTTAAAGCAAAAACTTTGGTTTCCTTTGCGCGCTGCTTAGCACCAATTGCAGAGTTGAGTTTGTGGATCTTAAAACGAAATCAATTGCCAATTGTACAACTAAAAAGTCAATGGTTTCTCTTAAACATAATTTGGTAATCGGTTAACAATTTGTAAGCTTAAAGTTAATGGTTCAACTAAGCCTAATACAATGTTCTCGGTTAAATTTGGAAAATCTATCTTGGTTTAGTGCAACGTCAGACGCCTTGTTAAAAATGAATAAAACCATGAAATTATAGAGCAACCAAACCGACAAAATGATAAATGGTTCGTTTAGCGCCCGGACTTTTAAGTGAGTCTCTGTGTGTTTGTGTGAGGATTGTACAGCTGTGTGTGAGTTTGTGTGTGAGATTGTGTGTGTGTGTGAGTGGTAATTAAGCAATTTAGCTAACAATTTTCAGCTCTTGTTCTTCAGCAAATGATAACCAAAGTTGGTTCGGGAGCACATGGAAGTCCTTACAGCTAGATGAAGCACATCTGGGATGGCCGGCGCCACTTACCCGAGTGGATGGTGTTCCTCGCGTTGTTCTGGTAGGCGGCACAGTAGGCCTCGAACACCCGCAGCACCAGGGCGTCCTCCTCGTAGGTGGGCTGGTTCTTCCGCCCGCTGCAGTAGCTGGCCAGCGCATTGCTGGAGCTGCTGCCGCCGCCACCGCCGCCGCTGCCACTTCCCGATCCGCTTGTGGCATTCAACAAACTTGGCCGCAACGGCGGCGTGGGACGCAGGCAGCTGATGGTCCAATTAGCTGGGGATTAAAGACAGAAGTTAGTTTGAATGGTTAAGTAAATCAAAGAAAGTACTTCAAGAAAGTAAAGGGTTCATATAAGAATCAATTAAATGATTCTATTATAACACAAGATTTTCTTGATGATATTAGTTATATTATTACATCTAAATGATGCGAATGCCTCACCCTTTGTGCTTCCTTTCCTTGCGCTTGGCACCCCCATTCCCTGCGCTGCCGCCGCTGCTGCTGCCGCTGCCTGAATTGCTGGACTGGCGTCCATGGATGACGCCGGGAGTGGAGCTGCTGTCTTGCTGTTTGGTATCTGGACTGAATTTGATCTGGGGCCGGCTGCCCCCAGATGACTTGGCAGACTTGGTGGTTGTTGTGGATGCAGATGATGTGGTGGAGGCGGAGTGGGCGTGTACTGATTGTAGCTGAGATGGTGGTTGAACGACTGGCTCCGTTTGTGATGCGACATCGAGTTGGTGGCCGGGGAGCCCTGGTGGCTGTTGCTCCCGCCGCTGTTGCCGCTGGGCGGGATGCTGCTGGGCGTGGCCGGCGGACGACCGCCTGTTGGCAGGAGCAGGCTGTGGTTCGATGGCGGCGACATCTGCAATGCGACAGATAAAAGGTTTTATATAATATCTATCATTTACTTATCAATTCTTAAATTATTTAAGTAAGTCTTAAGTTAGTTTCATGATCGAAAAGTATCTCTTTAACCGCCGTCAACAGGATCAGCGGTTCAATAACAACAAGAACAACGTACAACGGCAGGCGGAGGCAGGTCCTTCAGGCAAATATCCTGCAGCGAGCAAAGCGCAGCAAGCAAATCGAATCGAATGCGTTTGTTTGGTTTCTGATTTCGAATTTTCATTCTCATTTCGAATTTGTGTGTTGCTGAGCGTTAGATAAATGTTTTGTAATTCGTTTAGCTTTTGATCGGATGGAATTTCAACTCAAACATAGAATCAATGAATGGAGAACAGTTCTTTGGATATGATGAATCTTATGAGTTTTAAATTAAATGTACAGTTAAAAACTGATAAATCATTTTTAAAGTACCCCTCTTTTAATAAATTTTCTTCTATAATTTATCAATCAATGATTTCGCTTTCGGTTAGTCAAGGAATGTGCTAATGAGGAAGCATTGTGTGGATGCGAATGGTGACTGGTTTTCTTTTTGGACGTGCTGCTTTTGGCCAAATGGTTTTATGGTTGGTCTGAGCATTAGGGTTTGTTTTTGGAACATGAACATGAGAGAGCAAAACGAATTTACAAAACAATCAAACGGAACACGTGCACGGAACAAACGCCGCCGGCCAGGAGAACCGGATGCCCATCGAGGAGACACCTCCTTTGGCCACCTGGTCCACCTGGTCGATCCACTTCGGTTTGCTTGCCTTCTTCGGCGCCGGAAGCACTGTGTCCCATGCAAATGGGGCAATCGATCGAGGAGGAGTCGTGGATGGAGGCGATCATCCCCTCGTCCTCGCTGCACAGCGGACAACTGGAGGATGACGTGGTGGTCGTCGTATTGGTGGTACTGGTGGCACTCCCATTGTAGTAGTCTGCGCAATTCTGGCACACCGAGCAGTACAGTGCACCCTCGCTATAGCCGCTGGCTCCCAGCGAGCAGAAGCAGCTGGAGCACACCGATCCCGAGTCCTTCGAGTCCTTGGAGGGCAGGCTCTTGTTGTAGGCGTGTGCGATGCCGCGAACCACCTCCGGCGGCAGGCGCTCCTTCTTCCACCAGTGCGCATACATCCCGGATCGGAAGGTCGGTCCTCGATCCTCGAGCCGATCCTCGGAGCTCGAGCTAAACAGGAGATCGTTGGACGGGACACTCCGGGTAGTCTCATCCATGCTCGCGCTGGAGGGCAGGAAAATACTCCTCGAGTTCACTTGCACTTGAGCGGAACTTATGCAAGTGGATTCCTCTTTGCGGTTCGTGGGAGTGGTGGGTTCCTCTGGCAGTGGAGGCTGCTCCTCCACAGAATCTGCCACATCTTGAGTGGCCTCCGGGGTGAGGAACTTCTCTCTAAACATTCCGCACACATCGAACCTCTCCGGCTCCACATTGTCCAGCATATCCTGGCCAGCTGCTTCGAGGGGAAAGTAGCATTCCGGATTGGGAGGATCCGGTGAGGTAATGGTGCAACTGCCCGCCATTCCGCTGTCACTGGATCGCGGACTGGGACACTGGGAGCTCTCGCAGCAGCGGCACTTGGTGTCCAGGTGGAGATCCGGATCTCTGCGTGGCGGAGGCGGTGGAGGAGCCGGGCGATTGGACATCTGCAGGAACTGATAGCTAATGCAGCGTCTTATGGAATCCCTGCTCCTCTCCGGCGGTGGATTGCGCTTTTTCGAGGCAGTATCAATGCAAAGCTCCGTGGTGGAACTACTTCTTGTGGCGGGATTCGCCTCTGACTTGGGATTACCCGTCGAGGGACTGTCGCTCTTGTGGGAAACCCTTTTATCCGAGTTGAGTATCATCTTTGGAAAGGGAGTGAGCTCCCGCTGCAGCTGTAAAGGATTATCAAGAGCCTCGTCGTAGTTGTAGAGCAACTCCGCTTGCAGTTTATCCGGAGCAGTGCGACATGCAGCTGGCAGATCCATGGAACTGGAGTGCAGTTCGTCCTCCTGCTCCGCATCCACACTCTGCTTCTGCATCTCCTGGCGATCGCGCCACGTGGGCACATAGACCTCTGTATTTGCGCTCTGGTTAAAACGATTGCCCACAAAAATGGTGGGCATGCTGTGCCGTTCCGTCGGCGAAGCTGGCAGTGGAGTGGGTGGCTCTTGGGCACTCGACTCCAGGCTGAGATCATCGGGCATGCTGGCCAGGTTCTCGCAGGCGGTGAAAGCGCCGCCCAACCGACCTGCATACATGGAACTGGCATCGGAGCTCTGCTGCTGCAGGGAGAAGGATTGCTTTAGCTCAGGTCCCTCCTCCACGCAGTTGGTGATGCTGCCACCCACTCCAAGCTCCAAAGTTGCCGTGGAAGTGTGCACACTGGAATTCCGAGTAGTGGATTTGCGAGCCAGAGCTCTCAGAGCCCTGGAACCAATAACAAGCGACTCCTTTTTCAGCTCATTTTGTGCCAACACCTCGTCCGTGTCCACGGAATCCAGTTTAATGAGATTTATCGAGGAGCAGTGCCTCCTGCCACTCGGGCCATGGTCCACAAAAGTGCCCGCGGAGTTGCACATGGAATCGTTGCGCCTGTTCTGGTAAAACTGCACGTATTCAAACGGATCCGAGTCGCAGGAATGCAAGAAGTCATCCTCGAATTCGTCATCGTAGCTCTCCGAATCCGTGCGCAGCTCGATGGCATCCTGCCGCTCCAGTTCCGACTGCCCCGAATCCTGGTTGGCATTGAGATCCTTCAACTTGGCGGCCGCCTTGTGGCAGCGCTTCTTGCGCAGCGCAATCCGCTTGAGATCGATGCTCTGGCGAGCCTGCGGATAGAGCAGCATCTTCACAATCGCACTCCTCAATCCGCCGCTCTTCACCAGCCGCGCAAAGTGGGCACTGAGATTGGCGTACGGCGCCGTGGGCGGGTAATTGCTGGGGGGCAGGGTCAGTCGAAGGGGGCGCACAAAACACGGCGGACCGGAATAGTAGGCACAGAGCGAGAACCGCGTGCAGTAGCCACGTGAATCCAAATGTTGACTCAGCTGCTCACGATTCAAATTGTTGCCAAAACGAAACGATAATAGAGGTAAATCGAATGGGAGTGCACTACTTACATGGGCGGCATTCAGGTGTCCCAGCGATGAGTTGCTCAGGTTGCTCAGCTGCCGCTTGATGCCCATCGGCAGGCTGGGATTGTTGGCATTGAGCAGCTCCACCCACTTGTTGGCCTCATTCGGACCCTGGCAAACAGCCACAATGCGATCGATCAAGGGACTGCTGATTTCAAAGGCGTTCTTGATGGAGTCCGTGTCCTCCAAGCGATTCACAATGATTCCAGTCAGAGGAAGTTTACCCTGTAATAAGAGTGGTTATTAATTAAGAGTTTTACAAGATTAAAAGGTTTTTTACCTCGTAGATAAACGCACTCATCCGCTGACTAACGCTCAGGAATAGCAATGTTTGCGGGAAGAGCACAAAGTAGCGATCGCGGTGATCTGCTCCAACTGCCACGCTGCCCATGTGGATAATGTCTCCGAGGGTGCTTAACTCCTGGCCCTGCCATCCACGCACTGGTCCTGTGAGCACCTGCAGCTCCAGTTCCTTTTGACGACGCGTGGCCGAACAGGTGGCAGCTATATCCTTGTACACAGCCACACTCCTTTGGGTGTCGCCTCGATCTGGATGACTGCTCTCCATGTGCCGCTCCAGTTCCTGCAGCATGGCCGAATATTTGTCCAGTCTGCGAAAGGGTTTTGAAAGACCCGTGGTAAGCACAAGTAATCCCGGAGTGGCTGCTCCCTGTCGCTCCATGTACTTCTCCAAATCATCCCTGTGGGGTAAGAATAATATAATATTATTATACGTTTTTATCTATTAAAATGTAATACCAATTCAGCACATTTCATCCTTATAATTCTTATATGTAGCGAATAATTCCGCAAACCATAAGTTACAGACTTGACGGACCAGAAATCAATAAATATAAACAAAGAAAACAGAAACGCGAAATGGGAGCATTTCATACGAGCTATATTTATCAGGAATGGAATCGAATACGCAGCTATAAATAAGAGCTGGCAGAAATTGCCAAGAAGAAATATGGAATGCGTAACTCAAAATCGACATTTCACAAACTAATAAACCAAACAGTTTTATCTTTTTCTTATACTCTTATAAACTCACTTGTACTTATCCAAAATGACAATGGCCTTTGGATGGGCGGCACAATAGGCCTGGTGGACCTTCTTCATCAAGGGGGCACTGGTGAGGAATAGCTTTCCCACCCGATCGTTGCACTCCTCGATCTGGATAAGCAGGTCCTCGTGCGTTCGCACGATCTCCACAAAGTTGCACATCAGCTGGGCGTACTCATCTTGGCTGAGTCTGCAAAAACAGAAATTTAATAAGGAATTCAGGAAATATTTAATAAGCAAAATACTTACATCTGCGTCTGTTGCATGGGCTCTAGGAAGTTCTCGAGCAGACCCTGCAGCTCGGCCACGTGGGCTCGCTCCGAGTCGAGCAGATCCTTGAGGACCACGGAGCGGTACTCCTGGATCTCCTCCGGCGGGCGAATGGTCTCCGCCAGGGGCAGCTGCACCTTGCACTCGTTCACATAGTTGCTGGGGAACCAGCCAGTCTTGTCGTTCAGCGTTCCCTCCCACCAGCCGCCGTCCTCCCGCTGGGTGACCGTGATGAGATCGCCCTTCTGGAAGCACAACTCGTCGTTGTTGCTGCCCATGAAGGAGTACTCCGCCTGCACCACCAGTGGCTGATCCATGCTCGGGCTGTTCAAGGCTGCTCCGGATCCGCACTAGATTGCTTCAACTGAGGAGAAACGAGACGAGACGACGGGTTTTGAACTTGAAACATCAGCCAGGCAATTTGTTCAATGGAACGTCTTTCCCCAATGAATAGCATACATATGTGAACATATCTCTCTATATACAGCACCTACGCATTATTGCAGCGATGAGCAACATCATCATCGCCCATCGCTTGGAATTCCTCTGGCTGTTTGGCATTAGCCAAGAAATAATAATGGCCCCAGAAAAAGAGCCAAAAAAAAACAGGGAAACATTTTCAAAACATCTGTCGAGAAACGCGTGCGCAAGTTTCTTGACACTTTGCCGGCGACTCCCCTTCGGGTTTTACTTTTCTAACCCGTTGCAAGTGTGCCTGGAAAACTCGTGCCAGCTACACGATGGCCAAGGTCACTCAAGCTGTGAAAAGCCATTCAAAAAATTGGCTAAAAATCACTCAGTTATTGCGCAAAGACGCAACATCTCGTTTAGGGCCATAAAAACAATTCGAAAAAACCGGACAGCCAAACATATAAATCATAAACAACGACCGTGTCATGTTGAAAAATATTTACGGTCCAGCTTTTTATAGGTTGTATGAACAATTCTTTAAGAGATCAACATTTCGATTCAACACATTGCAAATCAATGAATGTTTATGGTAATCGTTAAACACTTTCGTTGGCGGAAATGGGTTGGGTTTTTCAGAATTTAATGGCAAGTGCATTTGATCCGTGAAATCAGTCATCTATAAAAATAAGGTATTTCGCAAAAATACTTTCGACATTGGAAAATGAAAAGACTACGTACAATAAATTCTCAATGTTCCATGGCACACTAAAATTATCTTTTGTGTTTGCGACAACAACTTGTAAGTAGTCATATAACAAAAAGGGGGAAAGTTTCTATACTTTTTGTCATTGGAGCTGAGTCATTTATGAAAGTCGATAGCCACTTATGGGATTATTTAGAGTTAGACATACTTTGTTACCATTACGGGACACATATATAATAAAAAGTATATCAACTGTTTATACGATAACTAAAGAAAAAATGAATACACTTTCTGTATACTTTGTATTATTGAAATATAAATCACATTTTCCTGCTTTTGCCGCAATGAGTAAACGGAAAAATATGAATAACATATTTTTATTTTGCCCAAAAGCAAATTTGTCTCTGCTGGGATACTAAAAATAAAAAGCCGACATAAGTATACAGCTTGGCGATTTGCAAATCCCATATGGCAGACGGGAACCTGGCTAAATGTGAGTGGTTCTTCCGAATAGTTGGCTTCACTTTTACAGATCCCCAAAGGGAGAGGAAACACCAACGAGTTGTCAAGATTAATCATATGATCTCCTAGGAATTTAGAACGAGATTATTTCCCTGAGGCAAGGTCACGTTTTGGTTGCACACACGCATGAAAAAGCCTTTAAATCGTCGCCTTCTCGCCACTCAGACACTCGGATATATGTACCCGCTATAGTCTATATAATCGGATTGGTATATACTTTTTTAACAATAAATTGTTGTACGAAAATTTGCCGTTTTCCGCCGTTTCTGCTGCTTTCAGACGTTGCACCGCACGCGTTCATTGCTTCAGCGAAACTGGCGACCAGACGACAGAATACAAAATACAAAATACAGAAAAGCGGAAAATACAGAAAGACTGGCGACAAATGGCAGCCGAATTTCCCGAGCCATCTGAAAAGTGCCACTCTCCTCGTCACTCTCGCTGTCTTCGCGGGATCGCGAGAGAATCGAATATATTTTCACATATATCCGAGCGGATACATCGCATATTTTCACGAAAAATCAACAGAGATGTGACAAAAAAAAATATAGATCCGGGGACAACCTTTATTTTTTGCTTTTCCAAAATGGGGACTTTGGGGGATCGTGCTGTATCTTAATTTTATTTCATTGAGAAATAAGCGACAGCGGTAGCATTCCTCGATATGCTTTTGTTTTGTGTTTTCAAAAATCCCATAAAAATATTTGTGCCAAGATATAAGTGAAATACTTATTCAATATGAATTCTTCCATGTTTGCGGATTCAGTCATCAATTGGGAACTTCTGCATATATGTAAATATGTAGGTCTTGGTTAGACCACTTTATGAATTATTTACGAAAATTTCACCTGTTCCTTTCTGTTTCCTGTGAATCATACGACATGTCCATGGAATGTGGTTTCTGTCACAGATTCTGAGAATAATAATCTAGAATCTCGCGATACACATGTTGTCATTTTAGCAATAATTCGGCATTGTGGTTTTAATCGGATTATGGGGTTAGCAACAATATAAACTTAAATTCTGTCTCGATAAATTTACAAGTTTGCAAAGCCAAACAATAAGGTATCTTAAAATGGTGAGACCAGGATTAAGGGTCAAAGCATTCAAAGACTTCAAAGCCTGACATGTAGGGATTATCCGCTTGTATATGATTTATAATTACAATGCAGAAGCCAAGCCAAATCTATGCCATTTCCCCTCTGCATCGCACAACCCTGAAATCACTTTAAGTCCATGGCCGGCAACAATCAAATTTCCGTAGGTGGTGGCGCTTCAAACGTTGCAAACTGAGGTCAGATGCATAAATGCAGATACAGAGATGCACAGATGCAGATACATACCCATTGATGCTCTCAGAACATAAAGCTGCGACCGCACAAAATTTTAATTAATTCATTAACTTGCACATGGCGCCGCGCAGAGCAACATTGCAACCACAGATACAGATACAGATACAGAGGCTGATGCAGATGCAGATAGAGATACAAAGACAAAACACACTAGGCCCACGCTCTCTAAATATAAACGATCTCTTGGTTATTAACGATCTGTCGCTGAAGGCAGAAATCAAATGAATGTCCTACGGCTTCCGGAAATGCGCAATTTGACGGAGAAAACGTCGCATCGCAGGGGAAAACCTCAATCCGTCGTCTGTTTATTTTCGTGGGGCGACAGAGAACGTAAACAACACATCGGCCAGAGATGTGAGAAAAGCGAGTGGCTCTGCTTTTGTTTTGCTTGGCAAAGTCAGGGGGAAAAGACAAACAAAGCCAGCCAAAGGCAAACCAAATTTATGCAGTTCTATCTTGTCACGGCCGGATCCGGATCGCTATCCCTAGTGCCTCGACCGAACTGCACTCGGTGCCCCTTCAATGTGTCAATACCGAGATTTACAGCCCGCCTGCCACCACTTGAGATGCATTTCCTCAGATATATAGACATAATATAATTTGATTGCTTCGCCGTATTTATAGATACTTCTTCGTGGCGGAGGAAGTTATCGGTGGCTGTGATGTGGGCCCACAAAAGAGGTGAGCGAGTGGGAGTTCATAACTCGAGGGGCTTCAAAGTTCTCGTATTGCCAACACACCGAAAACGAGGTCAACGACGGAAATATGAGAAAATTCTGTTCTTTAAGCATCCACGAATTGATGGCCAGCGTTTGTTTTGGGGAAAATATTCACATACAGCTATTCCTGAAACGCTTTCATTAAAGCGCAAAAATAACAATAATAAAGCAGAATGGGGAAAGAAATGCATTAAGATACGAATTGGTAATACCCTAAAAAATTAAATTTGGAGGTTTGAAATATGTTATCAAAGTTTCTAAGATTAAAAAAAGCTTAAAATAGAGCAAACTTTTAAGGAAGGTTACTGGAGTAATAGGAGTAATAAGTAAGAAGTTTACTTCAGTTAAACCAACTTAGTTTTTGCCAAACAAAAAAACCTCTTAGAACTCCAACTGAACCAAATGTTTTTTTTTAAGCCAAAACCAAGACCTCTTTTGTGAATATAAAAGAGAATGAACCTGCATTCGGTTCGCCACCGCCTTTCATAGAAAATTCTCTTGGCATCGGTTCAAAATTGTTCGGGTAATGATGCTTGTTGGTCTTGGGGATCCAACGGGGGATTGGGGGCTTTGAGGGACGAAAACGTGCCTCCTTCGTCGCCCGGGAGTGCAGTTTATTTTCACAGGAGGAGGCGGCGGCAACAAACAAACACTTGCCACAGGAACGGGAATGGATGCAATGTAGGAGCCTTTGCTATTGACCCAATGGATTATGCAGCCGGGCTCCTCAACCTCGGCGACCTCTTGGAGACGGCGCATAGGAAGCTTCCATGAAAACCGGCAACAAATTGCTATTGCACGAGGGGCAGGAAGTTGAGCAAGAATTGCGTTCAAGTACAGAAGAACTTGTGCAAGAGTTACGAGAATAGTTTTGTAGCAATATTCCAAATAAAATTTAAAATTCGAATAGCAAACAACCCCATTTCTAATCAAACAAAATTTTCAAAAAAGTTTAATTTTATTTTTAATTTTTAAGTGTTTGTTTTAAGGAGAGTGGACTGTAACCTTTTGTAGTTGGGAAGTCTGTAGATGCCTCTATTTGGATGACGCATCGAAGGGCGGTGGGGGTTAATTTTCCGATGCCACTGAACCTTCGGCTAGACTAATAGTTATTGAAAAACCTGAGTCATTTCCATTTCCCAGCCAAGCTGTCTGAAAGATTTCATTGCTGTTTTTTGTTTAACTCACCTTCAGCTACGTTTCGTTTTAACAAACATTTGTTGCTCCGTTTGTTGTTGTTCGTTGTCGTTCGTTGAGCAAAAATAGAATAGTGAGTAATAGTGGACTCTCCCACACTTTCGTTGCTTTTGTGGCTATTTCACCCTTAATATTAATATACACAATTAGTTATATACCAAAAAGAGCACAATTTTCACTATTTATTTCCCGATTTTCCAATTTCTGGCCGACGCGAACTGCACTCCGAGTATTCCGAAATACTTGTTTACGCTAGCGCCGCATTCGTGTTGTTGGGGTCAGCCGCTTAAGGGGCCCTTTATTTTAACCAGGTGTACCTATTTGAGCACTATTAACATCACTATTTTCCCATGGCAAACATAAATAAAACACAGCGCTCGACCAAAATAGAAACTAGAAAACCAGGGCTGCGATCGCCCGCAGCTAAATTGGGGATGTGTGCGTGCCAACAGGTCCTTGTCATCGATAGTGTTATCGATGAATCAGCAGAATACCGTGATTTTCAAATCAATTTCAAAAATGTATTAAAAGAAATTAATTACTCGAAAACTGTTAAAATTTGAGTAAAATATTTATTTAATAAAAGTTATTCACTGGTTTTGAGGGTTACACTTGTTAGAATTTCAATAATGTGAATGTATTTAGTCAAGATAGCTTCACGTATTCTATTGTAGATAGTTGCATTTACCGTTTGCGCATCTCTATCGTTCCTGTCGTCGCACACGTGTTTTCGTCACCGCACGCTTATTTTTCTCTCTGTTTCTGCACGAAATACTCACAAATAAGATGGCCGAAGTAGCTGAAACCCCGAGCGTGGAAACCCAAGAGGAGCAGGTGCCAGCCGCCGAAGTGCCGGAGGCTAAGAACGGTGCATCCAAGGAGGAGCCGGCTCCGGCCGCTGAGGAATCCGCTGGCGAATTCTCCAAGCAGGAGCGCGCCATTATTCGTCAGGTTGAATACTATTTTGGCGATGCCAATCTGAATCGCGACAAGTTCCTGCGCGAGCAGATCGGAAAGAACGAGGACGGATGGGTGCCATTGTCCGTGTTGATCACGTTCAAGCGATTGGCTTCCCTGAGCACAGATCTCGAAGAAATTGTGGCCGCGTTGAACAAATCGGAGGAGGGCCTCGTGGAGATTAGCGAGGACAAGCTCAGTCTGCGCCGCCATCCGGAGCGTCCAATTCCCGAGCACAACGAGGAGCGTCGCAAGGAGATCCAGGAACGCACTGCCTACGCGAAGGGCTTCCCTCTTGACTCGCAGATTAGTGACCTCCTGGACTTTGCCTCCGGCTTCGACAAAGTGGTCAACCTGACCATGCGCAAGCACTACGACAAGCCAACTAAGTCGTACAAGTTCAAGGGCAGCGTCTTCATCACCTTCGAGACCAAGGATCAGGCCAAGGCCTTCCTCGAGCAGGAGAAGCTCGCCTACAAAGAGCGCGAGCTGCTGCGCAAGTGGCAGGTGGACTACCTCAAGGAGAAGCAGGAGGAGTACGCTCAAAAGAACGAGAAGCGCAAGAACAAGAAAGAAGCCAAGCAGGAGCCGGCCTTCGAGCTGCCCAAGAATGCCATCGTTGTTTTCGAGGGAGCCCCAGAGACCTCGACTCGCGAGGAGATTCGCGAGGCTTTCGAGAAGATCAAGGACTTCGAGGTGGCCTACATCGAGTTCGCTAAGGGCGACACCAAGGGCTCTGTGCGTTTGACTGAAGCCGATGCGGCCGAAAAGTACATCGCCAAAGTGGAGGAGGGAAAGGTAAGAATACCACATTGCATTAAGTTTAGCTCGTTTTAAACTTAGGCTGTGATGTTTGAATACGGGGTTCCACAATTTTAATAGATAAATAATATCCCACCCAAAATATCGCAGAATTGTTTAGCAAAAACCCATCAATTTTATTAAAACCGGTTTAAAAATTTTAAGTGCAACCATAAATTCTTAAACTTTCTGCACGAACTTTATTAAGTCAAACCTGTTTTTAGCTTGCATGCTATTTTGGACTTCAATATAAATTGCATTTATAGAAGACTTTCAAAGAAGTACAAATGTTGTTATCCCCCAACAACTTATCCACTATCTATTTTTACCATCCTCAGCTCAAGTTCAACGACGAGGTCTCTCTGACGCTGCGTAAGGCCACCGAGGAGGAGGAGAAGGAGTTCATCGACAAGGCCATCGAGTTCATGAAGAAGCGCCGCGACTTCACCCGCAACAAGGGCAAGCGCTTCAACCGCAAGCGCCACGGCGGAAACGACCACAAACATGGCAGCAAGAAGGCGCGAGGGGATTAAATCCTCCGCCACCCGAGTCCCATTTCCGTTAATGGCAATAGACCAAGCTAAACTGTTACTCGGTAGATCTAGTTGACCTAGCTGTAAGCTCTTACTTATATTACATATGCTTTCTTGTAGTTTGCGAAATAATCGTAAGAGGAAACGAATTTTCTCCAAAAAATATGTATAGTCTGTTACATAGATAACGAGATGAACTCTAATTTATTTTACATAGAAGACTACGAATCCATTTGTTTCCTTAAACAGAAAGCTAATAATAAAGACCAGTTTGTAAAACCCAAAGCGATGACGATGGTTTTATTTGTTTCATTAGTTTGTATTTTTTTATTATTGCTGTTTTGTGTATTTTCGATTTCTTTGTGTGTTGGTGTGTGAGTGTTAAATTATTGCAAATGAATTTAACTTAAAATCATAAAATTTAATATTACAAGTACTTAAATGCATTTACAATTATGGAGAAAAGAAACAAAATTGTTCAAAAAATGTTTAGAAAAACTATAGTAGTTACAATACAATTATTTTGTTAGGGGTGTGCTTTGCATCATCAGCTTGTACAATTAATTAGAGGTCGCTTACAAAATAGTCGCACTTAGGGGAGAATTAAAACTAGGCGAATTAACTAAATAGTTTGGCTCGCATTGCAACGCCGACTAAAATTAAATTAGGCTATAAAGTAGTTCTTGCGTTATACATTGACATTGTAGTTAATTTGGGAACAAAACGAAAACTTCACAAGGTAAACAAAGATCTGCGCAAGCACAAAAGTTTCACAACAGTTTCGAATAACTATTTTCAACAACCGAAATTCTCTTTTCTCTGAACTGGGAATTGTATTACGAATATTGGTGTATTCCGTACGATACTTCGCTCATGCTAAATCGAGAGCAGGAGGCGGGGGTACAACTAAGATCGAATATATGTGCACTTGATATACGCGGATACAAGAGTTATGATTACGTGTACTTAATCAACATTTACGCATAAATTAAACAGTTATAAACAACGGCATCGTATTGCGATAATATAATGTATAGCGACGTGTAAGTTATCATCTTTATAAATAGTATGTGGTGGGGTGCGCTCAAGCGGATCTCTCTGTAGCCGGCAGAAAATGTACAAAGCTTCAGCTCCAGGGATTCTCGGTATTATCCATTGCTTATTCACTAGACTAACACGATTTACAAACGAGGCTCCTTGAGGCTCTATCCTTTAATGTGTACAACAGTCGATCTAAACCATACAAATGTAAATAGCTAATTATCGAAGAGCGTTTCAAAGGCCCTAAAACAGTCGCACTGAACATGAAAACGCATACAGTTCTGGAATACGCGGTCAGTAATCAAATAATGTCCGTTGTCGTCAATGAGTCATCAAGTCATCAAGAGATTAACAGCAAGGTCAGTCGTAAGAACATTCCATTGCAACTGTCCTAAGGTCTTCAAAAGCCCTCCACTTTGATTCATTCCGATCGCCGCCTATTTCCAGACGGGCGTCAGATCCAGGGTGAGATTCTGAATGGTGCGGTTTCTGGCAGAGCTGCGCTTCTGCTTCACGGAGCTGGTGATCTCGTTGACCAATCCCTGGCAGTCGTTGCACACGGTCACCTGCTCGCCCCGCAGGTTCTCCTTCTGCTCCTGCGTCTGGGCGAGATGGCTGCCCGAGGAGAACAGGTTGAAGCCCCTCGAGAAGCGGGATCTGCAATACAAAATATGAGTTACGAACATTGAAAACTTATGTATGGTTTGGTAACCCACTTCCTCTCCAGCGTGCTGTTGTTGGAGAGCGGTCGATATGCTGGGCTGTGCACCGGCAGACTCCTGGGTCCCTCCATGCTCCTCGACATGGCGTTGTTGTACTGCTGCTTCTGCTGGTGAACGCCCGAGGGTCGCATGGCAGCGGAGTAGGAGGCCGACATGGCCGCCTGGTCGTGCAGTGCCTCCACAGCCTGTCCAGTGGCAGCCGCCGCGGGAGGAGCAGGATGCTCCGGGTCCCACGCTGATGCCCGGCGTGCTCATGTTTGATCTTTGGTGCTTGGGCGAGGATGGGGCACTGCCCACAGTGGTGCGAGTCTGCAAGGAAACCAAAAACACAATTTAATAATTGAGAAACAGAAGCAGTAAAACAAACTTTACCTTTCGATCTGACTCGGAGCGCAGGAGTCGCTCGATCAGGGACTTGGGGAACTGGTCATCCATGATGTTCCCCGTCGAAGAAGAGTGCGCCTGGTGGGCGTGATGGGAGGGCGATGGTGTGCTCGAGCTGGCCGGACTGGACAGCAGCGAAGGCGAGATCAGCACGAGGGGCACGTTGCGGAAGTGTTCCGAGGGAATGCGCATCTGAAAGATACAATTATTATTAGTTATGAAGAACTATATATCTCTGGAAGTAGTAAATCCCACCTTGGTGTAGCACTTGGCGCAAACGGTGCGCTGGCACAGCTTGCACTGGATGCCCCAGGGACCGAAGAACGAGAAGCGGGTGCGCAGGCACAGGAAGCAGACGCGACGCTTTTCAACATCCTCCTTGACGCGCACGTCCATCGGCAGGCCCTCCAGCTCCGCCTTGGTCATGACGGAACGGATGTGAACGATCTCCGCCAGCGTGACGGACAGCCGATCGTCCCCCCCGTTCCATCCACGTCTGTTTGTCCATGAAGGACTTGTTCCATGGCCCAAGCGAGGATGTTGAACTGGCCTCGTCTGTGGGTTGCGACTGCTCCGCGGGACTTTTCTTGGGCGTCTGCGAGGGGATAGTAATCATTAAATAAAGATTGTAATTAATAAAAGATAAAAAGATCGGATTAATAAGTTTCTAATGAATACAGATTCTTTGGTATGGGGACAAATTCCCGACATATTGCAAGTACATCGCAGATATGAATATTCAACAAAAGTTACGAGAACCCTCCTCCCCCCTTGAAATCTCAATCATATTGCCCAAGGACTCACCTCCTTATTGACGTCGTCCGATTGACGCGATTCAGGCCGCGTGGGCGGCATGGAGTGCGTCTCGTCCAGGTTGCTCTGGCATCCCACGATGGTGTGGCGGCGCAGGGAAGCCCTCCTCGACTCGCACTGAGTGGCCAGGTCGTAGGCTGTGGGTAAAACAGAAAGAGAGCACAATCAGTCAGGGTCAACGGGGCGGATGAGTTATTTCCATATGCGAGTTCGAGGACAGTGAAGGTGGAAAAAGCAGGGAAAAGTGGCGGCAAATGTTAAATGTCAAATGTTTATTTTAAAAGCAAGCTGTGTGTTTGTGTGTTCATGTGGTTTATGCTTTTATGGCTGACGTCTGGATGCAATTTCGAGATCCAATATGGAGGGACAATCATGCAAGATGGCAGTGCATTAGAATTTTCACTTATTTTCTCTTGGCAAATATTTACATTCCAGGGCCGTGTCGTAGAACCTGTGGTACTCGTCCTCCGTGAAGGATGGCTCTTCTGGAGGCGCCGTCTGTTTAGCTGGCTCCACTGATCGGGTTTCATTTTAATGTCAGGCAGCAGTTTATTTTGTTCGTTTTTTCAGTAATATTTTTTTTTTGTAAGCGTAATTTGTTTTGGCAAAGTTGAAAATACATTATTTTTATACGAGTAATGGCAACCAAAAAAAAATAGAGTTAGTACCAAAGGAAAAGCTACTTGGAGTGCCATACAAAATAATACAAGGGGCAAATTGCAGTTGACTTTCTTTTATTTCTACGTTTACTTAATTGTTTTCGTTTTTACAAAATATTTCGAGATTATTTGTTGTATATTTGTGTGTCTCATTGCGTGTGCTCGAGTGCCTCCTTAACCGATCGCCAATTTTTAAAAGTTATATGTTATTGTTTCAGCCCACACCAAAATTTCTCTTTGACTCGATTTTTGTTTTTTGTTCTTATTGCGATTTTTTGGCAACTATTCACTCGATTTCGTTAGGGCTTTGGCTTGCGTCATACAAAATCATAAAAATATATTAATCGATATAAGTTAGCAGTGTGTGTCACAGTAAAACGATCAAATACCTTGGCAAAATTAAGTTTGTGTGTTTTTGGTTTGTTGTGGAAGGAAAGGAAAAAGTAAGAAATAAAAATAATATAAATTAAAATAATAAAAAACTTAAACCATATTACAGACAGTCAGTTGCATTGCCATAAGACAGCTGCTAAATATATTTGTCATATGGTTTTTAAACTTTCTGTCTGCAATTAAAAACCCAAAACATATATTAGAGAAAGACTTAAGGCAATGGCTTGGCCATGGCTTTTAAGCTAGAGCATAAAGAAAACCAGTTTTAAGCAAACAGCATTTGTTTTTAGAGAAAAGTAAGCATAAACTGTGGCAAGTGCTTGATAAATTAGCGGACGAGATAATTAATTATATAAGCTGGGGAAAGCTTAAGAAGGTTGTCTCTGATTTTAATATATAATATGGTGGGTATATCATAATCATTTCTCAATGAACCGAAACCATTAACAAAGTTTCTTGGCCAAAACATGTTAGTTCATCAACCGAAATCTTCTCGAATTACAGATCGAAATCGACCTTGTACCTTGTGCTCTAGTGTCGTGTGCTCCCAAAGTGCCCGAGTGGGTTATAGTTATAGATATGTATTCGTATATATTGCATAATTCCCAGCTAGAATCGGATACTCACTTGTGCGTCGGGGCCGCATCAGCGACGCCGTCTCCCGGCAATCTTGTCGTGCCTGGCTGGGCACCATGTAGCCACCGAATGGATATGGCGGCATTTTGGGCTGCGAGCAGCGGTGCATCTCGGCCAGATTCGGATGAGGATGGTGGTGCTGGTTGGTGGCCGCTGCGGAGTGGGTGCTACTGATCGACTCATCATAGAAGAGATCGTCCTCCTGCAAAACATAACTCATAAATAAATAAAACTTCCTTGGGGTTTTTGATTTGCATTAAACCCACCTGAAACTTGGAGAAATCCACTTTGATGAGCCGCTGTCTGGATCGTGACAGCGTGGAGTTTGCACTTGGAAGCACTGCAAGAAAAAAATAGATCGGTGTAACAATAAGTCCTCGGTTCAGTTTCTCAGGCGAAAGTGCTGGGAAAATGCGCTTGATTGGATTATCTAATGAAATGTCATTGGGCAATCGAGTCAGGCATCTCTGGATAATTCGTTATAAAACCTGATTTTCCAGCCCTTTTCTGCCGGCTCATTGCGCAATTAGAGGTGACATGCCTGGGTTCTCGGTTCCGCCGAAGTCAAAAGTCGTCATTATTTTATGTTTTTAGTAAGCTACACCATAAAAGCCGTTAAGCCCAACGCACTTAATGGTTCTACTTATGAAACCACTCGGCTTCACTCGACTTGTGCAACGCCTGGGAACTCGAATTTGCAGCGGAAGAGTTCGCTCCGCCTTTGTGCAACTCCAAGATAGTTTATGGCTTTAGAGGGGCCCTGTAATAACTTCGACGTGATCTGGCTGGCAACTGACCACCGGGGGCTGGTCATTATCCACTAACTTTAACCTTTTGCCTGAAGGCAAGCACGAGCTTTTCTATCGTTCTACATTGTCTTGGTTTTTGATATGAAAAAAATGAACTGGATACAGAGGTTTTTACTTTAAAGTTTAAATGTTTCAAATTTGTCAAAATATATATAGTCAAATATGGTCAAATGTATATTATAAGAAAATGTTTTTAAATAGTGAAATTATTTACTATTTTATTTACTATAAAATAAATTGTGTCTAGTTTTCATGGCTTTCTTTTCACAAGCCTTTTATTAACACCCCATTGAATTGTCAGTACAACAAATTCACACTACTTGTCCCTTCTTTTCAAACAAACAAAAATACCCAACCTTAAGGTCACGATTTTCGACAGTCATTCCATATGTTGCTGAACAACAAAGAGCATTTAATCTTCGTCGCATGCTCAACTCTTCATAGGCCGTATTTCTTCATGGCTCTAATGACTGCAGCTTAAAATCGAAGTCATATTATGACGGCAATTACCGCCGCTGGAGTTGCCTCCAAGTGGCTCCTTGAACACAAAAACAATAAAATAAAAAAAAAAAAACACGAGAAACACTGCCTTGAGGAAGTCTACGAACGAACCACCCCCCACCCACTTTGCACTTTGGGGTAGACCTGAAAATCGAAACCAGGTCAAAGTGGAGCAACAATGGGAAAACGCTTTTGTGTGTTTTCCTCGGCGTTGTTTTTTTCTTCTTGTTTCAAAAGAGGAACTGGGAGGATGCTGATGACTACCTTTTGATGACTTGATGGCCTGTCGGGGCTTGGGTGTTGGCGGATTATTGGTGGCCGATGCTCTCGGCGCCGCCCGAGGCGTTGGCTGCGGCTGATCCAGATTCTGGCCGGGATTGGGAGTGGAGATGGTGGTCGAGGCCTGACTGGACTCGCCGTCGGAGCCGCAGTACAGTGAGGCATCGCTGCCGATGTCCACCAGGTCGGACTCCCTTGGCATGTGATGGGACCGGAAGACGGAGGCCGCCGTGGAGCGTTTCGCTGGCCGGGCGTCCATCGGGTTTAGGCTATTAGACCTGGCACATTTCCCTTTGGCTTTTCACTTTTCACTCGCCTTTCCCACACGGTTGCATGGAGGCTATCGATCCGAGTCCGGAAAAAGGGAAGTCACCCCTCTGGGCCACTTTTCGCTCTCTTCAGAGAGGGTTGATAAGGTTTACTGCCCCCAGCTCCATTGAATTTGTCTTGCGTTTCTGATGAATAACTTGATGGCTATTCTGTGTGTCACTTTGTTTATTCTGTTTAATAGCCTCCTCGCTTTCGTTTTTTTCTTCTTCTAATTTCACTTAGCCCACAGAGTGGTTAACTGAGGAGCTCGGCCGAACAACGAGGCGTCGCTAGTGAAGCTCAACACGGAACTGAGAAATGTGGCAGCTGTCAACTCGAGTTTCCCCGCTTTTCGACTCGGTTTGCGCATGCGCCGCTCGCAAGAGAGAGCGCAAATGTTTTGTTTTGACATTTAACAGTCCAAAAGTTGTTTAGCCGTCGTCGCTGTTGTTGCGTGGGTGATTTATACGTCACCGTTGGCTTGATGACGTCGCCGAGGGGCAACAAGGACACCCCACATGTGATGAGTAAGCGCAAGTCCTTCGGGGTCTTGGCTATTAAAGATTCAGAACTGAAGAACAAAGAAAGTCGAGGTCGATTCAGGGGTCGTCTAGCTTACTAAATTAAAGTATTCAGTACTAAAGGTCTATAAAAACATATTTTTTTCTTGAAAAAAAAAAAAAACTATTTTTATCAGTAAACTCATGGAAGTATGCTTTAGTTTTCATATTCCCCTGACAAATTTAACTTTGCGCCTTTAAGTTAGGCTTTAAAGTTTGTTGAGCTTGTAAAATGTAAATGTAAGTTATAAACTGAAAACTTAATTTACATTTTGATATTGCCTTTGTAAAAAATGTTTTTCTTTCTTCTGGTAAACTTTTAAAATTAAGAAAAAAATTTAAGAAAATAAAAGAAAAGAATTAAACGTGTAAGTCAAAGGAAAATTTTTTGTGGAGTCTTACTTTTATGATACGAAATTAACTACATCAGTAACCGATGGAGTCATTCCTCTTGACATAGTTTTGGCTCTCATTTTGCAACGCACTCAAGTAATTAACCAATTCAATAGGATTATACAGAGACATAAAAATTATATTCGGCTTGCAGCTGCAATATTAGAAACAGACGGAGGAGGAAAACAAGATTCCCAGCCAGAGACGTAGGCCCCAAAAAAAAAGAAAAGAAAATCCAAACAGCCAACAATAGCCGACTTCGTCTAGAGGTTGTCGTGCTTGGTTTTTTCTTGGATTTCTTGGCTTAAATGCGGTTCGTATTGTTTCTGTTGTTGCAATTGCAGTTGTCGTTGTTGTCGTCGCGTTGTCGCTATCTTTGTGTGTCACAATTTTGCACGCTTCCTCCAAGCGAGCGGATTGGGGATTTCAATTTTGGTTTCGGGATGGGGATTCCACGGAAAAAAAATGATAAAAAATAGGAATCTATTTCTTTTATATTTTATTTGGCATTCCCCTAACTCAAATACATTTTAAATATTATAAGTCTTTTTTATATTTTAAATATGCGATTTAATATGGTATTCTCGAATATAAGATCTTATTTTTATCAGTGCTGTGATTGGAAAACGTTGCCGTTTTTGATCTATGTTGGCATGCGCGCTGCACCCGGCAAACACACACAAACAGACCATCAAACAAACAAACAAACAAAGCAACAAACATGGCAGAGAAAGAGGAGGACGAACCGACAGACGGACGGACAATGGGGCTCCCCCAGCGACAAGTGCAGTGAAAAGTCTTGCGGATAACTAGTTTTCCCCAGTTTTTCCCCAGCCTTTTTCACCATCTCTTCAAAGTCCTCCATTTACAAGCACACATGTGCGACAACAATTTATGGGCGGCTGGCGTTCAAAATTTGGAATCGCCGATGACAACACAACGAACCCGAGACCAGGGCTCGAGCGATAGACACCCGCGAAAAAGATTAGAGGCGGCATCTATTTTTGGCAGGCACTGTGCACAATCCATAAGTTTCCCCTTGACAATGGGCTTGGCTTTTCGAAGGATGGGTCGGTGAGAGTGGTGGCCATTAGTTATCAAGGTAATTTAGGTTTCAGATAATGGATACTTCATTTGAGAGATTAACTTTGTATTAAAATATATGAGAGCTTCTTAAAAGAATAGGTATTTAAAATGTGAATAGGAATTCTGATTCATGATTATTAAGTTACACTACTTATATTATATAAATAGTTCTTCTATTTTAAATTTTGTAGATTTTTGAGTTGCAGTATTATATTTAATATAAGAAATAATATATGTGAATACTTACTCCTTTGTCTCAGGGTCGGTGCTTCGGGTGGAGTGATCTGCTTGAGTTCCTTGCCCTTCCGGATGGACTCCATCAGCTGTTCCCGCGGCGAAGGTTCGCACATCCGCGGCGGTCCCAACTGGCGATCGCTGGCCTGATGGATCCGAAAAAGCACAGATAAAGAAAACGGATAGTAAACTTACAATTTTTATTTGAACGGAGAAAAAACAATTTGATTCATGCGGTACAAAAAACAGTGTAAGAGATCAAGACAAATGAAATGGAATCGGCAGGAAGAAAGCCACAAGATCAATATTTCACACTCTACAAGCGGCAAATGGGGATTTTGATGATGGCCGATTGCAGTTGGAATTGAGGTTGATTTTGGGACTGGCGATGCGGATGGATTTGGAATTGGCTGTGGCACTGGGATTGGGGGCTCTACTACACACCTTCTTTAGCGGCGGCCGTGACCTGATGAACTCCAAGATCATCGCGTGGGCATCTTTCTTGACGCGCGGCGGAATATCTCCATTCACCATCACCTTGCGCAATTGATACTTTCTGTGGGGAGAAATTTCGGTAAATATAAATATATATATATATATAAATATAAATAAATTAATCAAAAGTAAGCAGATATCTAATATTTATGGCACAAATAAAAATCAAGAAAATCAAACAAATAAAAATATAATTGGTAAACATTATAAAAATGAAAGGATACAGAAATCTTATAAAACCATTGCTACCAATGTTTTATAACTATTGTTACCATAACAATTATTAAAGCAAACAAAAGGAATTTAAATCTGTCTTATTATTAAATTAAACAATTATATTAATAACGATGACTGTTTAAATGAAAGCTATTTATAGAGATTGGTTTATTGCAGTTTTCCTGGTATGTGCTCCATTTTTGGCGGATAATGAGTAGATCTGGTGGTTTATACTCACTTGGCTCTAATATCGCCCATGAGTATTTCGTAGGGCGTCAGCTCGTATTCGATGGGAGTGCGCTCGTGGTTGCTCTTCTTCAGGCGGACTCCCTTCCGCAGTTCGTCGATCACCTGCACCCAGAAGCGTGCCTGCGGAATCGGAGAGGTGTGGTTAATCAATGGGTACCCGATATCTGGAACGGTGGATCGGTGGGGGAAATGGGTACAGGGCAAACAGATACACAAACTCAAACTCTAACTGAAAGACAAACACAAACAGGAGAACGGAGTACGGAGTACGGAGAACATGCAATCGAACTATGGACCTACTTGCAGTGCCCTCCACAGCTGCAGTTCGTGCTTGAGATAGGAAATAGAAATAATACGAGTTACCAGACGTTAGCAGAGTGAGAGGCGCATTTCACTTTTGCAATTATTTTCATTTAATTAGCCAATAGATTGGACTCCCGCTGCGAGGGGGCAATCCGTCCATCGGCATGACAAGTTAACTGTGCGTATGAGTAATGTGTGTTGAATGCCGCACGATGGCAGGAAGACTATTTAGCACACAATGGGGCTAATATGCAACAGTGATCCGCAATTTCACTTTCCATCCGCCGTCTTCCTGTTCGCCATGTTCAATTGGTGGCCATGCATTTTGAGACACCTCATTAAACATGCAAAACGCCAGCGGAAGGTGGAGTGTGTTTCAATTCAGTTTACCATGTGTTCAGTTGTGCAGTGTTCGCTGTGTATCTTAGGGTCCGATTTCAGTTCAGCCACGGCTGAAGGCATCAATGGAAGCACATGTTTTGACACCATGTTGCCCATACACACAAGACACAAGACGCCGCGCCACGCTTCAATTACGTTGGCAACAGCAACATTAGACACAGCAGCAACAGCAACATCGAAACAAAAGCAGCAACAGCAACTCCAACAACAACAGCAGCATCAGCTTCCGCAAGATGCAAGATGTATCTGCTCTGCTGATGTTGAAATACTATTGCCAAGTGCGTACAACATCGGTATCGTCTGGATACCAAAAAATTAGCATACCAAATCATCATCTAAGCCAGTTGAGCGAATCGCACAGACTTCAAGTCTGCCGAAAAAAAGAAAGATTTCCTCGGAATACCTTTTATTTATTCCCCTCGACAGTGAACACGTTTAAAGCACAAAAAACAGAACCAGCTGAATTTCCGCAATTCCAGCATAATAATAGCCCCAAACAAAAACAATGTAAATTCAGTCAAAAAGTGTTTTAACAATCAGTTTGCTGTGTGACATTCTGAAGGCTGTTCGTCTTCCCAGAAAACACGATAAAACGCTGACTAAAGACACACTTCTTGCACTTCCACTGCCACCAGTAGTCGAAAGCGAGAATAAGAAATGAAATAAAAAAAGAAGCGCTCCCTATAAACAATAGACCAAACAAAGGCAGAAGACTCTTATCGAACAACTAGCAAATGATAAGACGCCACTTAATCAAGCCCTCTACAATGGCCTGAAATTACGTTTCGCAATAGCAGCAAAAAAAAGAAGACAAAAAGTCACAAAATAAACATACTCAACGGTCTTCATTGTACATTTGATATACGGTACATGTCTGGCCAATTAATTGGCCAATTCCATGGCTGCACCTACTTTTTTAATCCCGCCTTTCGGCACATGCAAATTCACGGGTGTAAAGCGAAATATATTTATGGTCTATTTCTCTATCTGATTGTGTTTGTACTGTATCCCAGTATAAGCAAATATTATGGCATAATGATGTGTCGTCTGTTCCACACGCAAAGGTTTCTTTCTTGGCTTTTTGCGGTTTTTTTTTTCTCGAACATGCAAAGACTGCCAGTGAGGCGCGGAAAGTTATATCCCCCTCTAGATATAATATTAAAAAAAACTTACAGTAGTCTCCAAATTATAAAAATGATTACATTTTTTAAAGCCTTTTGTGCCAATAAACTACAGTTAATAAGATGTTTATAAGAGTGTGTTGACTTTAAAAAAAATAAAACAAATGTATTGACTATAATTGAATATAAACAATTAGCAGTTCATATAAATAAATCATTCCTGGAATTGTGGATAATAATTGAAGCAATCAAATTAACAGGTGAAATAAATACGCACATGTGAATTTTAATCAAGTTTTCAATTGCAATTTTTACAGGGATCGTATTGCTAATTAAAAGGTGTTTATTGTAAAAATTGTTATTCACAAAATGTGTTCCCTAATGTAGTTTTTAACATGTTTCTCATGCTAATTTTAAGGCTTACAAAGAATCAAAAACCATAGGAATTTTATGAACCCCTTTTTATGAACTGAATTTTTTTGTTTCACCTTATCAACTTTTTAGAACCAACTTAGCCAACTGTTCTTTGACAGTTTTGGGTTTCCATCTGATTGAAAAAATCAAACACACCTCGAACGGTAAAGCCAGCTATATAGTATAGCTTTTCACGCCACAAAAAAGCAGCCAAGAAAAGACAGAAACAAAAACAAGAGCGAATTTCGGTTTGCGTGCCTGGCCAATTTGCGTGTGTGTCTCAATGAGTTTCGGAGGTTGGATGACGGCGATATAGCGGCCCGATGTGATGATAGCAAACTCCTGTGACGGCCTCGACATATTCACCAAAGGTCACACAAAACGCCAAAAACTACATTGATGATATATGCGCCCATTAAAATACCTAACAGAAAATATAACCAAAAACAAATACGTATGGTATACATATATAGAGCGGCGTTGAACTCATTAGGATGATGGCCAAAATGGAGGCGACCACCGCGGGCCAATTATTGAAATTAAAAGTGAATTTCATTTGGCAATGCATGAAATAGTTCACTTTTTTATTCCAACGCAGAGCGGAAAACCCCGCCGCAAATAATGCTCGTGATCTGTCTGCGATAATGATTATGGTTATGATGATGATGGCATATGGGATATGCCGTATGCCGTATGCCATGTGATTTTGGCCAAGAGGTGCGCCGAAACAAATCGTGAGCGGATAGCCACTGTAGGCCATTAGTGGAGCACCATTACATAACTAAGTAGTATCTTGGGGCTTTGTGGTATGGTATGGTATGGCATGTGGTGTGTGGCTCTTGAAGAATCTTACCCAGTCGTTGAAGCCCAGCTTCGCCAGTTCTTGTTGCGTTGTGGCCGAAGATTCCGAGGCTTTGATCAGCTTCTCGGCACCTGCTGTTTCGAGATTAATGTTGATTAATTAACAGTCTACTTGGATGCTTGATGGAGTGCTTACCATTGTTCAGGACCTGCTGCAGAAACACACGGAGTTCTATGGTCTCCGTCACGAGGGCTCTGCAAACAGCTTTATAATGGTTCTCAGGCAGGGTGGTTTTTATATGATTTCTGCAGGTCTATAAGGTAGAAAATAGTTCACAATAGTTTATAGTCTTTTTATAGATTCATATTTTGAGTAAACAAACCAATGCAAATATAATTTGTGGAGTATTGTGTCTTCCACATTAAAACCCCACTTAAAACCCCAAATGATTACTGTTCATTATCTTTAAATTAACCTATATTCTTTATAGTTTCACAAAAAAAACCGCAACAAAATTACATAGTGTTCATAGCACAAAAGTTTACTAATAAATTCCCGGAATTTCTCAAAAAGATCACAATTATCTGCGGATATCCCGCATACATAAATTCTACGTACCGAAAGCTAATTACGTTTGACGCCTTCGGCAATTTCCTTTCACTTCTTATTACGATAATCATATCTCCTCTATATAGACCAACTCAATTTATTCCGCCAAAATGAATCTTATCTAACCGTAGAGAGACAGACATTGAAAAAATGCTAATTTTACCATATTAGCTGCAGATACTTTTCCACTTTTCGCTGGAGTGCTAGAAAAGTCAGGCAAGTGGAAAAAAAATCAAGGGGTCCAGTGTGCAGTGTGCAGTGTTCATTGTTGCCTGACAGCAATGTGTCAATTCTATAAAGTGGCTCATTAGAGAGGCACCACCCAACCGCACCACCTTGCCCCGCCAAAGAGGCATTCAAACAGAACCGAAGACTCCGGTTCAATCAGCAACGGTGTGAGGTTCATCACACGCCCCACCGCCAAATGGGGGATCCTCAAATGGATCTACAGAAGATCCGCAGTAGATATTTACTATATCGAATGGGTTGGCAGATGCACTGGCTGCCGGAAAATGCGGAAGAATTCCCAATGCGCAATCAAGTGCAGCGGGAAGGCGGTTGCAGGTTGCAGATTCAGATACAGATTCGGATTTCTGATTTACAGATCTGCGGCTGATTTCCTGCGATTACGAAAGCGTTTGGTTTTATGGTTATTTCGGTTATTTAATATCAACTGCAATCGAGCCGCAATTGAAATTGTTTTTCACTCGGTCGGCCGGGCAGCGTAATCGAAGTATCTGACTAGAACCCGGACTCAACCTGGCTTGTTTGCGGTTAGCCGCGATACAGATACGCGCATAACAAGTATCTCGCAGATACCATTATTTATGCAGAGAAAGAAAAATCATCGGAGAAGATGATTGAGTGAATTGGAAATTAGGTTGCACCGATAAACATAAAGGTGATCCCAAAATTATTTAAATGTGCATCGGGTAACACATTAAGGCTTTCAATTTCACAAGTTGTTAACCATTTATGGCTAATTTATTTTCTTTTTGTGTAGGCCCGCTTTGGTTAACTGTAACGTGAGCCAAACAAGTTTTCCCACCGATAAATATCGATGCCTTGGCGCTATATATATTTATATGTCAAAAGAGCTGGCAAATGGAGCGGATTGGGGCCTGGTCAAAAGGTCAGATCTTGGCGCACCCCCCGAAAAAAAAAATAAATAAAGAAAAACCTCTGAGTCACACTTCGTTTGGGGTTCGAATTTGCATTGGTTTGTTTGCGCTTGGCTGTCTCGTTTTTTTGGCACATCATGACACGACTCGATTGCAAATGCCAGATACGATCGGTCGGAATTGGAAACCCACCTGGATAATGTGCTCCAGTTCTTTGGTATCGTTTCGCTCCTCCTCGGAATCGTCGTCCCAGCGCTTGTCGCCCTCGTCGATGCCCTCGTCAATGCAATCATCGTCTGTCTCTGCAATGAACAAGATTCAATCAACTTTTAAGAATAAGAAATTAAATTTTTACACACGATTATTTGTGTTTCATTTATCATAAAGTTTACGTGATTCATGGCAGGCGGTCAAGCTTAACCTTCATATTGTTTACGTTTGTGGTTTTCTGATATATGGGACTTTTTATTTAAGAAAGGCTATCCCCTGATAAAATAATGTAGGCTGAGCCCCGATTCGGGGACTTTATTAAGAGAACCCCCGGCTCAAATAATTCTACTCTTTAACTAAGCTTTATATTACTTATCTGAATCACAAAGTAAAAACGAGAACAAAAGTATTTCACCATTTATAGAAATGAGGGACTTTGTACTTAAAACCAATTAAGAGATTATAATTTCACAAATTTCCAAACGATTACCCATTTTCTATTTTCAGAGTTACATAAATAGTTTAAAAATGGGTAATAGTTTGCTAATTGCTCATAGGGTTTTTAATTTCTATACTCACCATCTGCCGTCATAAAATTGAACAGATTCTCCAGCTCCTGTGACATTTGGCACTCCTCGTCCTCCGGCAAATTGTAATCCAGTGCGGTGTAGACGATTTCCGCCAGTTCGCTGATAATCTGCAATAACAAAAAAAAACCGAAGAAAATATTAAATATAATAATTACTAGGCAATGGAAAAAATGAATGGGTGTCGACAGCAAAATGCGATTGAGTGGAGGCCAAGGGTTAAGGCCGACAAGTCGTAAAAATGTGCAGCGTGTAATGCAGTTAACCCCCTGAAGCCCTCAAATCTGGGATTCCATGTGCCTCGCTCCTCAGGCGGCAGTTCATTAAACCGACACTCTAATTGGAGTTTGAAGTTGACGGAGCTTCGTCGGAAAGCAGATATCATACATATATATATATATATATATATACTTTTTTATATGTAATTGGTGTTTGGGAAGTTGTAGAGTTCAGGTGCAACAACAAGCAGCGACAACTTCAAACAACCAAGTGCAGTGTCAGCTGGTGTTTCACTTTCACTTTGGCGTTGGCGAAAATTAACAAAAAAAAAAAAAGAAACACTTGCCGAAAAAGCTACAAGGTGTTAAAACACCGAAACCCGAAGAAGCCAAAGTCGTTAAATAATAATTCGGTTGCGTTATGTTATTTTTGGCTCAGCCACTGAACCCGTCGTCATCTTCTCATCTTGATCGCGATCTCGATCCCAATTCAAATCCGAATCCAAAACCGAGCGTGGGTTCGCCGCCCACACACTTTGTGCACATTATGGCACATTTTCCCTGCACGTTCACATGGATCTGTTTTTATCGTGGAAATTAAATGATAAAACATTGTGACAGCTGTGCAGTGGATGCACCGCCGAGTGGCATTTCCACCCGAGGCCCTCAGCCTCAGCCGCTGAAGAGGTTGACAACAAATGTCAGTTAAATGCTTCCAGCGTTTTTTTCTTTGCCCCTTTGGTGGAGTTAGGACCCTTACATCATTCGCCGAAGAATTGCAGCTGCAATCGTTGTTGCAGTGCTGCTGTCGCTGTTGCAGTTGCAGGCGTTGAAGGTTGAGAGACATAATTAATGGGAAAATTATGGAGAGGTGGAAGTCAAGTGTGCCCAAGTGGGAGATACACTATATAATGGTGAAGTTAACAACATAAATTGATAAACTGGAGACGAACATTTAAGAATCTAATTTAAGAGAATTAAAGAGAATTAAAGCAAGTTTATAATTTATAATTATAAGAATTGATAAAAAAAAAATAAATATTACAAAAGAAATAGCAAAGGTTAACACCCAGTAAATATTTTATCTTATATTGTATGGTTTAGTTTAATGTATTTATCTCAGCAATGGGAAAATGTATTTTTATCTTATTAAAGAAAATCATCATTAGGCTCAAAAAACCTTTTCTACTAATCACCATACCTCGCAATTAAGAGCATAATTACAGCCTATATAGTTAAATATCAGGCGACTTCTGAGCAGGAACCATCTTCATCTTCTTCTCCCATCTTGTGAATTTTCCCATGCAATTAGCAAAGAGAACAGAACTGGGAACCCGAGGGAACTACGACTATTTTCGATTCGGAATGTGCATTGTGGATGGTGAACTGAACTCAAGCAAAGTGTAATATGCCAAAGGCGAACCGCCGTCTTGGCCATTTTTTTTTTGCTGTTTTCCCCCACTTTGCATACATCTAGTATAAATAAATGAGACTGTCTTTGTTGAGGGTGCGCCTGTTCCCAATCCGCCAATTCTCACCGAAAAATACAAGAAATAAAACTAAACCCGAATTCGGGCTAATATCAAAGTTGAAACCACGGACATGCAATGCGGCAATTATAAGCCGGTTGCCAGAGCTCCAATTCGGTTTTTGGCCAACAAAGGGTTCGCCCCCTGCCTTCATTGTCAATCCAGCCAGTCAGTTTAACCTTTCGCCTGACCTCCGTGTTCGAGGAGTCACTGTACTAGCTCTTGGTTCTCATCGGCTGCTAATCTTTTTTCCCTCCTTTTTTTTGGTGGTAGTTTGGAAATTATTTTATAAACAAGAGCTGCTGAGTCAGCCGACAAAGCAGAATTGTCTGCTGAGGTGTGAATATTTAAATGCACTTCGGGGACCAAATTTCCACTCAAGTGCACAGTAGTCGTTTTTTTTGCACAATTAACTAAAGGTCAAGCTATAGTAAAATGACCAAGCCTCTAAAGACTTTGTAGTAAAAAAAGACTTCAAATAAAATACAAGGATATCAATCACTGCTTTAAGAACCAATAAAAGGAAAGTTGCTAAGGAATGTAATAAAAAATAAATACAAAAAGTATTGCCTATTTTCAAATGGTGTTAATATTTTGTATGCATGCAACTCGACTTTCTGATGAGCCTATAGATTTCTACAGTTTATGTCTATAGTTTAGTTCCTCAGGGGAATGAAACTTTAGCCAGCAAGTTGCGAATTTCAGTTTGTTATATTTATGTGCCGGTTCCTCTTACGATCTGCCATTATGAGTGCCCATTGTCTGCCGAGCATCTGGGGGAATCATAAACTCCTTGTCTGGCCATCTGCCTTCCATCCCATCCCATCCACTCCTTTCCCAACTCGGCGATCTCCTACTGTTTTCTGCGGTCTGCCCACTTGACTTGACCATTTCCTAGTCGCAACTCGCTGCTGGCTTGCCTTTTTTCTGTCGCTATCAGGATTCACATTTTATGCAATTGTTTCCATAGAAAGAATGCCGTGTATAAATACGTATATATATATATATATATATATAGAAGAAGAGAGAGAGATGTATATATAGGCAAACGACAATCGGCAGCCGGCATACAAGTAGCTCTCGACTTGGCCACTTCTCCCGGCTATCTGGTCAGTCGTGATCAATGTTGGCAGCAGCAACAGCAACAGCAACAGCAGCAACATCGCAGCAGCAATAGCAACATCGCAGCAGCAGCAGCAACAGCGGCAAAAAATGCGACGCCAATGTAAAGCAGCATAAAATGGTCGGAACTCTTTTTTCTAGGGAGGAATAGGGGGCTAAACAACGTTGACAAGGCGACGCTGGCGACAACGATTAAAATCTCTGGGGAACAGCTCACAAAAAAAAAAAAAACAGAAAAAAAGAAAAACGAAATAAATAAATAAATAAAAAACTGCAGAGCAGAGAGACAATGAGAACTGGAAATATTTTTGTAAATTACAATGCAATTTTGTGCCACACAAAAGGTTCGGTTTTTGCTTCTCGTTCTCCTATTTTTGTTTGCTCGGCTCTCGGCCTGGTCAACTGTTTCGGGCCCATTAAGCACTTTACATTCGATGTGGCGAGATCAAAGTGGCTGAAATTTATGGCCGCAGATACTGAGATACACGCGGAGCAACCAACTTGGCGACTTGACTTGGCCCACAGGCCAGTGGGTTGAAGGAAACCACATTGGCCGGCTGCGAGCAGGTTATACAATTTTAGATTTTCCAGTTTCTTTGGCCGTCGCCTGCAAGACGGATGACTCGAGGGGGGCGACAGGTGGGCCGAAGGGGGGCATCGCTTGTGATAAGGAGATGGGGCGGCCAAGGGGAGGCCAATGAGTATGCATGTTTGACCCAAATTCAAGACAAGACTCGAACAACCAAGAGGGAATTATGAATATGAGCAGTGCACATGGGGAAAAGAGGGTTTTTTAAAGAGTAAGAACAAATCAGAGAAATGTTTATTACAAAATTGGATCTCTACAAAAATTAAAATAATATTAATAATAATAAAGTAAATTTCCTAAAAAATAAAATTTAATGTTCTCAACGAAGTCTTCACTTTTACTTAAGCAATCTTATTTTCCAGATTTTGTATTTAAATTATGTTCAATATTAGTTTAACTTATTGTAACTTGTAAAGAATGTAATTTTTTCCCAATTTCAAAGTTCAATACTTTTTTTTCAGTGTGCCACACATGCTGCATGTCATCTAATAATTGCGTTCTCAGCTTATCAAGCAAAGTGTCGTCCCCACACTTTTCAAAAAATAGGGGAAAGTGAATGGATGGGAATGAGAATCTGAATGTGAGTCTAAATGTGAATGCGAGTGCGAATACGAGTGTATACTCAAGTGCGAATAAGTGCGGTTCGGTATTTGTAACTGTCTTGAAATAATATTTGCACATTTTGCCATACCGCCTGCAATTAGCCGACGACATGATTATCAGCCAGGTGATTCCGCCACCCTCTCACCTTTCCCCTTTGACCCCCTCCCCCTCCCCTTTCCTTTTTTTTTTTTTTTTTTTTTGTTTTTTAAGGTGCATGTCGCCTTGTAGCTCAGGTGAGTTTGCTTTCGTCGTTTTCTTGTCTTTTGTTGCCAGCGACTCGTTTGCCTCGGAAACTTTTGTTTGTTTCGGCATAGACGTGCGAACTGGGTTAATTTTCTATATATAAATACTGGTATATAAATCTATGTACAGGTTATAACTATGCTGGCTGGTGCTACAATTATTGTTTATGTTCATGTAGAAAACGGCAATTCACACGATTCGCAACGGCTAAAATAGTGAATAACAATTATTTCCCATTATTTTCTTTCTGCGTTGATACCACAAATATATACGTACGATTCGCTTTTGGTCTGAAAGAGGCCAATATGCGATCTGTTGGGAACTGATAAGACAATTATGAAGTAGCGAAGTTGAGAATGTGGGCCACTGAGAGCGATACGAGGAAACCCCTGAAGCAACTGATATACATTATGAATCATTTAAATAGAATGTAAGAAATACAAATAAATAAGTGCTCAATAATTGAGAAAGACTTATGTATTACAAGTTCAGTTCTAAATGAATCATACTATTTCCTTAATTTTTATTTCTCATCTTGGAACTCCTTCTTTTTTCCTCAGTGAACAGCCTAAGATCTCAAAGTCATTACCTCCTCTCCTTCGTGTTCTCATGGCTGTGATCCATGGGAACCTATTCGCCAATTCCCCAGTTTACCCAACCCATCCATCAATATCAAATGCTTCAATCAAAACGCTTAATGCAGTTCCGGAAAGATCTCGAGTCCCGAGATCGGAGCAGGCCACCTAGAAAAGCCTCCTCGGCACACAAGTTCGCTGGCACTGGCACTCTTTTTAAAGCCAGGCTTA